ACGTGACAAGGACAACAGTCCTTTTCAGCATAAGCAACTTAGCCCTAACACAACTTGGATGAAATGTTTGTCCAGGAGATCACTCTTGCAAATTGCAACTACAATTATGCTTTTTAAGCAAAGTACTTTGTTACTCCTGCTTTGCTATAAAAAAAAAGAAGCAAATAGCCTAATCCAATAACAATCAAGCTTATCATGGCTGGGTCATGAGTATGTATGAATACTTGCTGTTGGTTATAAAATTGGTTAACTAGGTGGATAGTAAGACCTAAGATCCATTGAAGTGGCCCCCTAAATGTTAGTATAGAAGGGTCCACGCTTGTGGCATAGGGTGGATTTACAAATTGTAAGTCATAAAGGAAACTATATGCTCCTTATCTAGACGGCAAAGCTTTTAAGTCATTTTTGCTTCTTCTCATCATTAAGTTATATTAATTAAATCCATACTTAATAAATTAATAATTCTAATAACATAAAAACTTGCACTTTTAAAGTCTACCTAGCAAAAATAGTATTTTCATCTAGGTGGTGGTAAGGAATTAAACCATTTTGGGTTAAATGGGTTAATTCATTTTGTCACGACTAAATAATAAAATTAAAAAATAAATAAAATTAAAAATTAAAAAAATTAAGAACATTTTTAGCATACATATTAAACAATAATAAGTATGATAAATAATAAATATTTTTATTAATGATGGAAATGGAATGTAAAATTTAAAACCAATTGAAAATAAAAATATTTTCCTATTCTCTTTCATTAAATCCTATATTTAAGATATATTTTTTTTTCATCATTAAATTCTTATAATTAAATCTATAATATTAATTTTAATAGTATAAAAATAAATGTTTTGAAAAGTAATTTGAAAATAAAACCGTTTTCTTCTCTCTCGGTGGTGGGGAAGCAATTCGACCATTTGGGGTCAAATGGATTAATAAATAATGTCATAATTAAATAATAAAATAAATAACTATGAACTATAAGAAGTATTTTTATTAATGATGAAAATGGAATTCCAAATTCAAAATCTACCTACAAATGAAATGATGTTATAGTCAATTAATAAAATTCTTAATAATAGAGAATACAAAGAATCACAAAAATTAAAAAAAAAGATAGAGAAAATTTTGGGCACATATCTAATGTTATATATTTATAAAAAATAAAATATTGGGTACATCTTTAATATTATGCATTCATTATATTGAACAAAAATAAGTTTTATACATAAGAAATAATTTTATCAATGATGGAAATATAATACAAAATTTAATATCAACCTATAAATCAAACTATTTTTCCTTTAAAATAGTGGGTTAGTGGTTTGAGTCAAATGATACCATAGGCAAACAAAAATTAAGTGTGATAAGTAAAAAATATTTTATATAATATAAATGAAATATATAATTTAAAAGAAAAATTATAGTCAAAGTCAGTTATACAATTAAAATTAGGTTGCAGGTTGGTCCAAAAAACAACAAAACTCTGACAAACAACTCTACATTTCAAATTATAAAAACCTCTGCCATGTCATTAGAGGCCTATGTGGTTGTTGCCAATATGTGACTCTTAGTCCATGTTAGACACAACAAAGAATCTATACCGAAAATAGGTTTTCAGTTTCTCTGCCACTCCCTCTATTTCTCAATCTCCCTCCCTTCTCTCACTCTCACAGTCATCTCTCAATCTCCTGTTCCCTCCGTCTCTCCCACTCTCTCAGCTTCAGTTTGTAGCCAAATCACTCACTCACTCACTCACTCACCCTCTCTCTCTCTCTCTCTCTCTCTCTCTCTCTCTCTCTTGTTCTCCCTCAATCTCTCTCATTCTTCTCCCTCACTCTCCCTCTCGGTCAATATCTCCTCACTTAATCTCTGTCGTTTTTGAGTTGGTGTAAATTTTATAGCCAAGAGTTTCTTATGAATTTTTATCAAAATGGTGTAATGATTTTTGAACGATACCAAGTTGGTCTCATGTTATTTTATATGATCTAATTAATACCATATAAGTGTGTAAAAAAATAAAAAAAAAGAGAGAGGGAGTGAGAGAAAAACTTAGGGAAAATAATAAAAATTAAGGGAAAATGAGAGATCAATTAAGAAAGAGAATGAGAGAGATTGAGGGAGAACTATAGGTAGAGAGAGAGGGAGAGAATGAGAGAAATTGATATAGAGAACGCAAATATAGAAACCAAAAACATTTTTATTTATATTCAAATCACATGGTAATTGAGTAGATAAAGATGACTGTGAGAGTGAGAGAGAGTGAGGGAGAGAAAGAGAGAAACTAAAAAATATTTTTTCTATTTTATTTTCCAATCACCCAACATTAAAGGGCAATTTCGTTATAAGCTTTTGTTGTGTCCAACATTGATTAAGAGTCCCATGTTGGCAACAACCACATAAGCCTCTGATGACATGGCAAGGGTTTTTATAATTTGAAATGTAGAGCCGGTTGTCAGAGTTTAGTTGTTTTATGGACAAACTTGTAGCTTAATGTTAAATGTACAACCAACTCTAGCTATAATTTCCCCTAATTTAAAACTATTCCAAAAGCAAAGCTATTTTCTTATTTAGATGGTGGGTTAAAGATCAAACTTTTCGAAGAAACCGATGATGTCAAAATTGAATAATAAATGTTTAAAAAAATATAGAACACAAAAAATGAAAATGTATAGAATTTTGTCAAAAACATTTGAGAACACTTCTGATGTTATATATTCATCATATTAAATAAAAATAAGTGTAAAAATAAAAGCTATTTTTATTTATGATAAAAATGCAATACAAAATTTAATAATAATAATAATAATAATTGTTATCTGCTACAAGCATTTAAGTTTATTTTTGATCATATATTGTTACTTTTGTTAATTTTCATTTTCTATCTTAACTATGATATATCTAACATTCAAGTAATTAAGAAAATATGGGATTGGTTACATGAATTCTATTTTGTCACTTATGTTGAGTCATGAGTGCCGCCATATCCATGAATCAGGTTAAAATGTCTTTCATATTATATTAAGAAAATGCATGTTTATCATTATACTTTTGTATTTATATTGACATGTATTGTAGCATTTCTTAAATAAAGAAAAACAAAATAGTTACATGGGCAAGAACCCCTTTATTTTCTATTTTTTTTCTTAGACTCAGTTTGGAAAGAATATAAATACAAATGTAAAATCTTGTATTTTGTATGTATTTATACTATACATATTTGTATTTGAACTCTTTCCAAAACTGATGAGCCTTAAGTCATCACTCGTACATTTAGGGGGTATTCTACCATATGAATTGTTTTCTTATTGTGATTACAAAAATCTTAGCCCTACTTTCATACAACACATTCTCAATTGCATGCAAAAGCGCCTAACATGTTTCATATGTTTTGAAGTGCAAAATATTTAGACACGTTTCATATGAAAAAGACAGTTTCCATGATACCGAAATTTTACTCTACCTTCTGCGTCAGAATCTGTCTAAATATTTTGCACCTCAAAACATATGAAACATGTTTGCAAATTTGCAGAGAAATCATGGCCTTGAGACCACAAATTTTACAGCATAATTTTGCTTTCAGTTTTGAGAAAAGAAAACACCACGCAACAAAGAACTTGTTTTTATGTGTTTTCATTTTAAGAAAATAATGTTTTTTTTGGAAAACATTTATAAGCCCCTGTTTGATTGAAACCACAAAATAAAAAAGTAAGAAAATCAGGTTGGAGAATAATCTCAATGAGCAAAAAAGTTAAAAAAAAACTAATTTGGGTAACATATATAATGAGATACCCAACTTATAGAGTCTGACACTACAAGTAGAACACTTGGATGACTTTCATGCAACATTTTCCATTGGAATAGAAAGGATCCAGATTCAGTCCTCACAAAATTTGTTCACACACCATGCTCACAACACTTGCAGCCCTATTTTTGAAATATCTCCCACGGAAAAATATAAGTAATGGAATGTTCTAAATGCACAGCTGTAAATGTTGTGAGCACGATGTGAGGAGAAATTTTGTGAGGACTGAATCCGTTCTCTGTGATAAGGGGGATACATCCAAGCAAATTAGTGCTGTTAGAATTCATTCTTTGACAAAAATCATTTATTTTGCGGCTTGGTTTTCCCATTTTAGATCAGGATTATATGATACCTGGGCTGGGCTTAGACTAGGCTTAAGCCCACAATACTTTAACATGTCCAAGTCCAAAAGGTGAGGCTCAGCTCATTTGGAATTGTCGAGCTTGGCTCGAAAACTTGACTCGAGTCAATATTCATGAGCTGTTTGAGCTTAACTCGGTTTGAGACAATTATAAAAAAGGTTGTTATTAAAAAGTATAAATAAATTAATGTTTAAAATATTATAAATAAAAATATACTAAAAAACTTGATTGTATATTAAAAGTTATAAATAAATCAATATTATGAAATATTGTAAATAAAAATATATTATGAAACATAATTATAAATTTATTTATTCATATTATAAATTAATATAAAAAAATAAGCATACATTGAAAAACAATATTTTATTAGAAGTTCGATTAAGCTTGCGAACTACTCAAGTCAAATATTACAAAGCTCGAACTCGGTTCAACTAACTACTCGTCTTGAGTCAAACTTGACTTGACTCGATTCGACTCAATAATCTTTGAGCCAAGTTCGAGTATTTAGCAAGTCAAACCTAAATAGCTTACAAATTGGCGCTTACACTCCTAGATTAAACCCAAGAGAAAAGCAACACAAATAAAGATATCCAAGTTTCTGTAAATTATGATTCATTGTTTAAACATAATGTAGGTATCCAAATGGGCTGAGCCTATGCTCAACTATGCCCACCCATCTATGCTAAGACCGAAGGAGCTAAACAATTAAGCCCAGGCCCAGCTGTTACTTATTACGTTTGGACGATTCATTTCAATGGGTATGCGCAGGAAAACTCAGCTTAGATAGTTTTACTGGTTTAATTAACCAACAATCCAATTTACGAAATTAGAAGATGCTATTGCTGTTTGGTCCTCTGGAACAAAAAAACAAAGACAAAGCCCCCCTAATCTCTCTCTCTCTCTCGCTCGCTCTCTCTCTCCTGTAACAGAGGAAGAAACTCAAGTACGTAAAAGCTCTTCTGGGAGTCTTCTGTTGGTCTCTGGATGAAATTTCTTCATCCACAATGGATTACAACAAATGGGTTGAAATGCAACAACAACAATCGAACCCTAACCCTTCAACAGACCCTTACGCCCAACTCTACAATGCGCAGGCTGCCTCCTATTCGCATTATCCTTACTACCCACATCATCCCCATAACTCCGGCATTGATGATCCTCAGGCGGTTCTTAAACACCATGAAATCCCTTCCGCCCATGGCGCCGAACCAGGCCTTCATCCACCCGGAATTGATTCTTATGCCGCCTTGAACAACTATTCCCATTCTACCCTTGTGGATTTTGAAACCCAGGCGGGAGTCACCTATGGCCACCAGGCGTCGCAGGTCAGTGCGCTGGCTGCAGCTGCGTATTATCCTGATACTGGTGCTGCTGCGCAGAATTGGGCAGCGAAGGAGGCAGTTCGGCAGTTTGGGGCGGATCCCGTCGCTTACGCAGCTGTAAGTGTTCTTGCCTTTTGTTTTTCTTTGTCGTTGTTATTAGCTTTTTGTCTTGCAAATTTTAGATTGCAGGAGTTTATGATTTTTGAACTTATTATCCTGTGGGATTGATGAAAACAAACTTTTGACTTTCTGTTACCGGTTTAGGATTTTTTTTTAATGTTTTATGTGCAATTAATTGACATTCTTTATATTTTATTGGTGATTATGTGGAACAATCAGGTTCAGTTCTTGAAAAATTCAAATTATCTTTCTTAAATTTTTGTGTGGATGAATAAGTGCTAATGCCTTATGGCATGAAGAACTATTTTTTTCTTTGACTTTTTACTTTTTTCCCCATCTTTTGTACAGTGGTAGAGTTGTTACTAATTGTTTTATAATTATTCTTTTGAAAATTATCCTTATTATTTCATTTTAATTTGTTTTCTGATTACTAGTTCTCTTTGTTGGGACATAATACCTTTCATTTATTCGTATTGTGTAAAACTGTTGGTACCCATTCTTTTGGAAGTAATAATAGTAAAGTGTGGCTAATGTATACCATACAATTTAGAGGCAAATTTTAAATACAGATAAACTACCAGTCATGTTATATGGGCGCCTTATTTGGCAATCAAGAAAAACCATGTAAAGAGAATGAGCATCACTAAGATGAAGATGCTCAGATGGACTGATATCAAGATTAGATTCATTAGAAAGGATAAAAAATGAGCTAAAATTATAGGAAATTCAGGGTCATTACTTAGTGCATTGGTGAAATATCAGACTGACAAGTGTGACAATGTGGCTTTGAGTTAGAACAAAAAGAAAAAAGAAAAAAAAACAGCCAAAGGTTGGGTCTGTATCTAGTCTACCCCTCAGAGGACACTGGATAGCTGGGCCTAACATTTGGTAATGGTCATTATTAGAGGTGTCAAGAGGAGAGGAAGTTGCACATTTGATTGAGGTGGTTTGATCATATCAATTAAAATTTAATTGACTTCACAAATGAGGAAGGATTTTGGTGCAAGTTAATAGCTCCATGTGGGCAAGGGTATTGCCACTAAGGATGCACATGGAAATCTAAAATTCTGCTTGTCACTGCAAGACCTTTCTCATTACATGGAATTTCAGCACTGTGCTTTTCATTGAAGAGATAGAGCTTTTATTTTCTCACAAAATCTGGACTTTATGGGCAAGATACTAAAATGAGAACCATAAAAAGTTAAAGCAGTAGATACTATTTGTTTTCATTGGAAGCTATGGTTATTCTTGTTTTCTCCTAGAGAAGACCATTATTCAATTTAATGATTTTAAGTTTCTGTGAGAACATGATGTTTGTCCACCTCCCACCAAAAGGGGTGGGGGGAGTGGGTGTGGAAACTCCAAAACCTAGGTTTAAGGTTTGCTTGGAATAACCAAACTTAGATTGATAATTGATTTTCTCTTCTCGATTCCTTCTTTCCCACATTAAAGAAATGTCTCTTCTTATTTATAATGGAGAATAATCAAGCCAGGGCTGGGGAGTGGGTCATCTAGGAGCTTCAGAAAGGTGCTAATGGTTTAAGAAAACTTGATTTTTTATGGTATTTATTTATTATAGGGAGAGAATATACTCTACAAAAAACAGGTTTGGTGAGGAAAATTGGATTCGACTGAGAATCAAAAGTACATAACAAGTGCTGTCTTAAAAACCAAGGGATAGTAGGAGTTCTAAAAAAATTATAAGATACACCATTCTTGAATAAAAGAGAATTACTTTCTAGAAATCCTTACATATATGATTTGTTGGGTGAAAAAAAGTCATGTGGATGGAGCTCTGATTTCTTAGGCTGTTTTGGAGTCTGGGGGTTGTGCTTTCTTCTTTACCCAAAGAAATGGTTCTTTCTTGATCATGCAACCCACATACCTATGATTTTTTCATTTGAAACAAGATGTAAGAAATTGGTTAGTGAGTGAGATAGATAGAGGGAAAGGAAGAAATTTATAATTCTTTGGCTTCTTTTAACAAGTTGAATATATTTGGCATGCCATTACTTCTTCTCATGATCTCCTTAACAATTAATCATTTCTTGAAAAGATGTTTGTGGAAAGAAAATATTCTTGGATGGAGAGATTAGTAACCTTGACAGTCAAGCACTTCTCCAAATAGCCATCTGGTTAAAGAATAAATTCTTGGTTGCAAACTTGGAGTAGGAGCTTACAAAATAAAGTTTGTAGGGAATTGAGATATGCCATTTTCATCTTTTGATTAAGAGACATACTGTGAATGTATATTTGCTCTTATATCTACCCTATTTTAGGGTGGCTTGATCCTTCAGTCTAGCCAATGGATCCATGAAATAAATCTCCCTCCAATCGTTTTACTTTCTTCCCTGGTGCTACTCATTATAATCATTATTTGATCAATAATGATCAGAAAACTTTATTAAATAGAGAAAGGATTAGCTGAATGCAATAGCTGTTCAGTGGGCTGTGGAACATCTAGAACCAATGATAACACTTCATGCCAGTAATTAAATACATGGACCCACAACCATTTAACTTCTCTCTGTGGAGTGTGGGCCCCATGTATTTTTATCACTGGTATGGGGTGTAAGATAAAGGCTGCTGAGGGAGAGGTTTCCTAAACAGCTGAGTACAACAAAACAGAAGTAAGACAAAGGCAGTAAAGCCTTACAGCCAAAACCATCCTCCCACAAAATACTATTGAAGTGACTAGAAAACAAAGTAAAATTAAGCCCTTAAATAAATTGTTGGTTAACACCCACTTGGCTAACATCCTTTCCACCTTGCCCTTGACCTGCTCAATTGGGAGTGCCTTGTCTTCGAAGGTCCGGCTATTCCTTTCTTTCCAAATGCACCAACAAATAGCGAAAGGTACTAAGTGTCACAAAAGTATCCCCCTTCTACTAAAGGCTTTTCCAGGAGGCCAATAGCAATTCTAAAGTAGGGGGAAGGACCCAGTTCACAGCAAAGAGCTTCAAGACATGAGACCATACACTGTAAGCATAGTTGCAAGTTAAGAGTAGGTGCTATGTGTTTTCCTCCGCAAGCCACACAAGCAACACTGGTTGACCAGTTGCATTCCTTTTTTTTTAAGAGCATCAATGGTCTGAGTTTTGCCTTTCAGATCCATCCACAAGAAAAACAAAACCTTTGAAGGGATTCTGGTCTTCCAAATCCAAACCCAAGGTGGGGGGTTCAACCTCCAAAGGAATCAGTAGAATCAACATTGACTTGGTGGTAAAAATTCCAGACTTCTCCGAGGGCCACCATAACCAATCTTCAGTTAGAGGCTGGGGTTTAACCTGTTCAAGCTGCTGTAACAGTGTAATCAAGGCCTCCAAATTCCAATCATCTACATTTCTTCTTAGCCTCGATATCCATGTAATCTGGGAAGTACTGACTTCAAGGCAGTCATTGATTCTGGCCTCCTCATCTTGTGCTGAAGCAAATATAGAGGGGAAAGCAATGTGAAGAGGCCTGTGACCACAGCATCAATGCTTCCAGAAAAGAATTCTCACCTTAGCCTGGTTTGAAAGAGACAAGGTTGAAAAAGCAGATCTCTGTTTCGCATTATTACCTTTCAAAGACTAATTCCATAAGACTCATTGAGTGGGCTTGATTCCCACCCCAGTCTAGCTTCCCCATATTTGTTTTTATTATCAGATTTCTCCAGTGGGCATTGATTTCTGTAGCAAACCTCCACAGCCATTTGGATAAAAGGACCAAATTTACTTGCTTCAGGGGCTTAACTCCCAAGCCCCCCAACTTTTTTGGTTTGCAAACTTCTGACACTGGTATGTTCTCATTGGTTCCACAGCCTGCTGAACAGCCATCACATTCAGCTAATCCGAATTCTATTAAATATAGAAAGGAGTTGAACCCCTGTTTAGAGGAGAACCAATTACCAGGGCATCAAGCAAGATGAAGTACAGAACGTCAGACAGCTGAGTAAACAATAACATGAATACAATAGATATATACATTTATTTTTTATGCTCATTCCCAGGGCCTGGTAACACCATTGTTATTGTTACTACTGTTATTACTATTATTAAGTTTACTATTGTCATTATTATGAAGTTTCTTGTGTTAAGCAGACAATGAGTTGTAATTTCTCCATATATTAATTTATAATGTAGATGTTATTATTCTGACTTCAGAGTGTGTTGATCTTTTTTCTTTGGAGGGATGATTAGGGAACATCCCAATTTTGATAAACAGGGCGATTTCCTTGTTAAAAGAGAAAAGGTATGCCTATTAAAGTACACAAGTGCATAGGAGTTCTTGTCTTTTCAAAAGCATAACTTGTAATCTATTCATTAGGAATGACCCTCCTTTATTAAAAATGGGATGTTCTCTAATCACAACTCTTTATTTTTCTTTAAATTTTAATGCTTTATGATGGATTTAGTTTTATAGTTCCTTGACTTTTCCTTTGCCAGTTTGTGGGTAGCATTGTTGTCATTTTCCTTATACCGCCTAAATGGAGCTAGAATTGGATTCTCTTCTTCCATTTCATTTATTTCTGATGCCATATCTCTTGTTGAAAAATAATCTGAGAAATTGATTTTTGTTACTTGAAGCCATGCTCCTTCTGCCTCTTGTTCTTTTTAGAACCACCAAATCACCCCTTGATGGTGGATTAGCTAGTTCTGGTCATTATTTTGATCAGCAATCAACAAAGTGGATTTATTGATGATAAAAAAATAAAAAAAAACTACATTTTTTAGGCAAATGGAAGAGGTTTAGGATAAACAGCTGAGACCTAAGAGCTGGCATTTGTCACAATATCAGAGTCTACTTTTCATTAGCTTGTTTTGAGTTGCTGCTACCCTGAGCTTCCCTCTTATAAACTCATTTATGTTTTCTATTTTTATCTCTCCTATTCCAACCATTATTCTACCACAACATTCTCATCTACACTATACTAATTCAAGGCTGTGCAATTGTTTTTCGTACTTTTGTGGTTTTACTTAGCGGTCTTATGGATCCTTACTGCCTCGTATTGACTC